ATCAAGACAGCCCATGTAAAATGTTATTATCTGAGTCTGGTCCTTGTAACTGAGGGAAGTAAAAAGTGCTGGGCTGGCATATTGAAATTTTACATCTCATCTTTCATGCCACTTCTAACTGATGCATTTCGTTTCCTTCTTTTCAAATACAATTATTTTAAAGGGTGGTTTATGGTATAAAAAGAAAATAAATACTTCATTTTTCCCCTAAATGGTTTTAATGATGAATTACACGGCTCCAGAAAGCAGTTTGAAAGGCACTGTGGACTCCTTTGAATAAAAGTGTAATCTTGATATAGATGAGGAATATTACTTTATAAATATCTGAATAGCTGTAAACTACCAATATTGAGTAAAACATGATTTCCGTCTGAAGAGACCTTACCAGTGCGGGGGAACGTGCCACCTTCAAACATCGGTGGCTCCAAGATACAGTTACAAGTTGGGTGCTTCAGCCTTTTCCAAATTAAACAAAAAACAGCATTGAAACTAAGAACACTATTTTACTTACAGTAAGTTTTACTGTTTTATGGATGTTTCCCCCCATTTGCTTGTATATTTGTTTAATTATTGTAACTTCAGAGCAAAAACAATTGAAGAGCAAAATACGACTAAGTTAATGAAAAATTAACCATTAAATTAGGTAGTAGAATTGCTGCTACCATCTTTAATTGATTTCTTCCTGGCCAATTTAATCAGTTAAAAAATGTGTAAAATAGTGTATAGTCTCTTCATAAGATAATGTTAGCACTTATGGAAGCATCTCTTAAAAATCAGCCCTTCTCTAGTAAGCTGTGAGTGTTAAGAGAGTTGAGAAGAAGGACTATTAGCAGCTTACCTGAGTCCATCTGTGGCAGTCTTATGAAGAGGCAAAATACTTCAAATGAAGTTCACAGGTCTCTAGAAATAGGTTTGTAAGAGGGGAAGCATCAAGGGAAATGTTGACAGATATTTAATTATAATGGCAGTAGTGGCTGTTGCTGTGTTAATAGCATCTGGCAGCAGAGTCACCACCATCTGTTAATGCCCTGAAATTCTGATATGGTACTTCCTTTATGGAGGAATTCACAGTAATTAACAAATCTATCAAATGAAATCACCTTGATTGGATGACAGCTTTACCTTGATAACGATTAATTTCAAAATAATGGGGAATAAAATGTCCACTCTTCGCCTTTTTGCTATAGACTAGCTAATGCTGCTAGCTAATCAAATACAGCATCCTGGAGGGTTTGCTTTTAATCTTGGGGTATAAGACATCATTTAGTGCATCTCCTTTAAATAGTCCTTATAAACTGAGCTAGATTAAAACCAAACTTTTGCATCTTAATTTCTATTTGCAACAGATTAGGACTCTAAAATGAGTTGTAGTTCTGCTGATGTACAGTAACTTATTTAGTGTTAGATAAGAGAGAAAATGAGGCTAGGCTGACAGAAGTGACCCTTCAACCAAAGTCAAGTCAGCCTGGAAAAGCAATCTGACTAGGTTAAAGCACTTCAGGTTTCTTTGTAAACTCAACACTAGAATCCAAACTGTTTATTTCTGATGAATCAGTTTGCCTTCAAAGTGATGGGAAAAACATATTATATTTGTTGGTATTTGGAAGGATTATGAATATCTATTTTTATCAAAGCCAATATTTTGGTCAGTGTAATGAAGTAACACTGCTGTAAGTAATAGCTATAAGCAAAGCAACGAGCCAGTTCGAGGCCTGGTTGGGTTTTATTTTTCTCTTAACTCCTATTTTTCTGTTTGTTCCTGCTGAGCAACAGATGGAGAAGGTGGCATACTCTGATTAAATAGAAGAATTGTAAGTAATAGGTAATTGAGGTGTGGTAATTATAAGAAACAATAGGAGGGAAGAGTAAATTTTGGAATCTTGAAGTCAAGAAAACTGGAATTTTATTTCCATCTTCCTGTGTGAGTCAGTTAATATTCTGAATATTGCTCTGGGACCCACAGAGAGAAGTCAACGTATATTTTCATTCTGTCTTTCTGTTTGTTCCTAAGTGACAGAAGTTTCTTTAGGCTGGGATTTGTGCTGATTCCAACTACTGATAGAGCTGCGCTGACGCCAAACCACAAGTGGAGGTGTGGAAAGCTAGGTTTATATTGCCTTGATTTATCACAGCTCCCGACACAGGAACTGTAAATCAGAACTTCCCTTCCCTTTTACTTGAGGCATTGGATTCACAGCATTTTTTTGGTGGGAAAAGGTCTGTGCCTTCAGGTTGATGGTATGCAGAGACAGAAGATAGCCCAAAATTCACCTTGTGTTCTGGTAGGTGGGCAGGAGGTGCTGTGGCTGCAGAATGTACCTACTGCTGGACCATCCAGATGTGCCATCCCAGATGTGCAGTGCAGACCAGTTTCTGCCTCTGTGTTGTGGCAAATTTAACTGGTGGAGCAGATTTGACGATAAAGGCCCACCTGGTGCGTGAGGTTGGCGTTTAGCCAATTTCTGGCTTTGGTGTCTTCTCCATGAGACCTATCCCGCTCTTTGTATTTTGCCTGAGAGTTGTAGGAGTCATACATCAACTCATGTGAGTTGCATGACTCTGCACATGCACGTTCACCACACATGCAACATGCATGTACATGGTCATCTGTGGTTAATACCGTTAGAACTAGAAGGTGCTTTGAAAGTGCGCTGGGTTTCTGTGGGGTGGTTTTTGGTCGCAGGGGAGAGTGCTACAGCAGTGGCCCCTGTGAGAAGCTTCTCGAAAGGTCCCCTGGCTCCAAGTTGGACCCACCTCTGGCCAGGGCTTAGCCAATCAGCTGTGCCTCTGTAATGTATTTAAGAAGGGGAACCTGAGAGGGGGGTTGGGAATTATGAGGAGGGGTTGGGAGAAGGACAAACACTGAGGTCAGCGGAAGGAAGGAGAAGGGTGTGAGGGATGTGTAGAGACCCCTGTATCCCGTGGTGAGATGGCAGGGCTGCCCACCCTGCCACACGTGGAGGTCCGTGGTGGAGTAGAGGCTGACCTGAAGCTTAGGGAGAAAGCCACTCCGGGACAGGCAGCTGCGCTTAAAGGAGGGCAGGACTCTGAGGGAAGAAGCAGGCCCCGCTGTTGTGGTTCGGCTCTGGGAGGGCTGCAACATGTGGGGGTGACCCATGCTGGAGCAGCTCGGGAACGGCTGCGGCCCGTGGGGAGGAGTCACACCAGAGAATGTTTGTAGAGGACTGTCTGCAGTGAGAGGGGAGCCCCGGGGAGCAGGGGAGGGATGTGCGGCGTTCACCCCACCTCCCGAGCAGGAAGGAGCGGCGAGCTGATGGTAACCCCCATCCCTGCACCCTGCGCTGCTGGGGGAGGAGGGAGAGAGATCTGGAGCAGAGCTGAGCCTGGGGAGAAGGGAGGGGTGGGGGAGGTGGTTTTGGATGTGGTCATTCTTCTCACTGTCCCACCTTGTCTGTGAAGTGTTGTCTTTGTTAGCCTTTGAATTCAAGTGATGTTTTCTTTTTCTTCCCCTAACAAGTCTGTCTTTTGCCTGTGACCATAATGGGTGAGCTACTCCTCCCTGTCCTTAGATGGTCATGTTCTCCTTCCCATCCCTGATGGGCAAGGAGTGAGGGAATGGCAGCGCCATGCTCAGTTGCCCTCCAGGCTCAAAGCGCGGCAGAAAGCAAGTGGTTTCATCTTCTGTTCTGCTGCTTTGAGTTGACATCATGGGATCACGGGCCGGCAGTGGCTGGTGAGACGTAACAAACCTGTGGAAATGTTTGTTAAGGCTTGGAAGAAAGGCTTGTTTCTCTCTCACTGTTATTTTCATGCAAGACACCGTTTTCTGTTTAGGAGGATTAGAAGATATGCATTAAACAGTGTTAAATATGCTGAGGCAGTTGATGTTTACAGCCCTTGTAGAATTATTCATTAAAATATTAACTGCTAGACAGCCTCTTTTTTTTTTTTTTTTTTTTTTATTCAGTGATTTAGTAGCCCTCTTTAAAATCATGTTGTGTGATTCAGACATTGGAAGACTAAATAAGACAAAACAAAACCACCAAAGTTACCCACAAAACCGCTAATTCTTGGGTTTACATTTCTTAAATTGTCATGGGCATGACGTGCCTAAGAAATTCAGACAGATTTGTGGAATGGGTGAGCTGTAAGATTTGACTCAGCTCTCTCCCATCTGCACCAGCAGCTCTCTCTAACATGCAGTGCTGGGAGGATCTGGAAGGGGCCATATCCTTCTCCAGGTTTTTGCAGAAAATAGATACATGTTTGCACTAAGTTTTGGTTTACAGAAGCTTTTGGCACAAGGACAAGATGTTACCTTGAAATGCTGGCTCTCAACTAAACTCTTTTCCCTCCCTACCCCTTTTTTAAGATGTTTTTAGTGGCTCTGGTTCTTCACGAAGGACACAGTTGTGTTATTCTCTATAAACATATTCTGGTTTGCTTCCTTGGGCCCCTTGTGTCCAATTTTCTGGCTGAGCAGGTCAAGTCTGCTGTTGCTGCTCCTCTCCTCGCTGTCACATTTAATCTATGCTTCCTCCCATGTACCATCTTCCACGTGATGCTCATGTTTCTCACGTCTGTTCTGAGCAGAGCTACAGGTCTGGGGTGACTCTGGGGCTTCGTCTTTTCATTGCTTTGCCTTGCTCTGGTAAAGGTGCCAGTTGGTGGTATTATCGATACGACTCTACGAGGAGCCAAGACGCAGCTGCACACCTCATTTTCCATGGACTGCTGGAGAGTTATTAGCCAGCATGGTGTTTGATCGCTACACGTCCTAGATGGATTTCACCCGGGGACCTGGAGGCAATCCCCCAGAGCCACTGAGCCTGTGACATTTAAAAATTGCCCGCCTGGGGTCATTGCATCAATTGTGTTGCCTTTAATTTCAGTTTTGATGAGCTTTTCTCATTCGGTTGTACAGGTAGAAAAGTCTGAACCCAGCAGAGTGTGACACCATGACGACAAATACCTGTTGCGCTTTGTGTGCTTAATAAATACTGATGGTATCTCTGTTGTGTGTTTTTTGTGTGTTTCAGGAAAAAAGTGCCAGTTCAAATGTAAGACTTAAATCTAATAAAGAGATCCCAGGATTAGTACATCAACCCAGAGCAAAGTAAGTTCAATTTTATTTTTTTTAAATCGTAATACCAATAGACACAGGATTAAGCACTGTCTGTGAGATTCTCAGTTATTGCCCAGCGAAAACCAATTGGTGGTTCCAGCAGCCCTAAACCCATGCTTAATTCAATAAAATAGGTAAGGTCACCAGTGTCCCAATACCAACGACACAGCTGGGTAGTGCTTGTGCTGGCATCCCTGCAGCATCCTCTCCTTTGCAGGGCTAAAATGCAGGACTTAAAAATGTGTGAGTTGCATCTTGCCATGCCTTATAGGAGTGCCATACTGTGTTATTTCTCAGCTTTCCATACAACTTACACATAAACAAAATATATGCCCTAGTGTTCCTAAATACTTTCAGTTAAGTTCCCAGGGAAGTATTTGCTAGCTTTTGGCTTAGGTTAGCAGCTGTACTGCCTGGTATTAGGAGTGGTAAACTTCTTGCACTTAAAATGGTCAAGTTTTTTCTTAAAAAGAGGGTTGTTTTGTAGCTGAGAGTTTCTCCATCCTTTGCTTGAAGTTCTGTGCTGTACCCTGGCTGAGATCAGTCAGCGTTACATATGCCATGAAATACTTAGCTCCTGTGACAGAGCTGGTTATTGGTATTAGTAACTCATTTCTTATCTAAATAATTGTTACATTTTAATCTCTAATTGGATTGAAAATAACAGATGACATAGAGCCATATATCGAGTTCATAACGAAGAAGCGATAAAGCTTTGCTGTTGGATTTTGAACAATAGCGGAAATGCTGTTCTCTATGCCGTGCCTTCGGGGCACTTATTAACTTAAACTTGCTGCATACCAAGTACATTGTACACGGTTTCAAGTCTGGAAACTTCAGTAATTTCCTTATGAACTGACAGTGTAACTCAGGCTCGTTTCAAAAGGAAAAATTGAATGCTTCAGATGTAATTGCAAAGAAATTCACAGTGGGGAGGTGGAGGTAAAAATCACCCTTCAGCAAAGCCATACTTCATTATTGTGGCTTGGTCCTTCCCGACAAGATCAGAGATGTATTTAAGATGCTCTAACAGGAGGCTAATCAACCTGGGATAAAAAAGGGCTGTTTCTTTTGACGGGTCATCTCTTCTGATGCATCCAAGGCAGAGGAACTGTGTGGGATCAGGGGGTCCATTCCTTCATCAAACTCTGATTTTTAAAAGTCCCTGCAGAAATCAGAACTGGCCTTCATTGACCAAAAAGCCTAAAGACATTCCTTTGACAGAGGTAAATGTTTTTAACACAGTCCTGCTAAACTAAGGAAACTTCTCAGTGACAGAACGTAACATTCGGTTGTTGGGTAAAACCTCCACTGTTTGCCCAAGTCTCTGCTGTTTACCCGATCTACTGTTGGATTTCTGTTTATAAAGTGGCTACATGTGTTTGAGTTGCTAATCACCAAGTCAGCAAATATCTGTTATCATGTACCAGTTTTTTTTTTAAGGTTTATCATCTGAAAACCATGACAATTTTGACTGCAAAGAGGGGCAGCATTGGGTGGAAAAGGCCTACTCAGATAAAAGAGCAGAAATTAATAGATAAATCATTAGATGCATCTTGTAGAACTGTTCTTATAGAACAGATGCTATTTCAAAACAAAACATGAACTACGTACCGAATAACAAGTTCATCTACAGTGGAGGGATTTTTAATATGTTGGCTGTAAAAATAAGATTGTGAGGGCTCTTCTTGTTTGTTGGAGGATTTAGATTTTTACATCTAGAGCCCTGGACTCTAGAAACAGTGTATGTAGACAGTCAGCAGCAGATTTATGGGGGTCTTTGACAGAGGCCAAGGGGATGGTCCTCCTTCTTTAAACTGAGTCCTTGTACCTGCCACACCTTCATGGGTCTTCATCCCTGCACCCTGCCCTGACCTCTCAGACACTTGCTCTCCTTGCTTATCCTCAAAACTCACTCCACTGATGTCTTCAACTGGCTGTGTGGTCAAGTATGCCCCATCAAGTACACTGAGACATGTTCATAACTCATGGAGTGACAGCAGCCTGAAGCATAAAATGAAGGAAATAGTATTTCATACCATTTTTGCCTGCTAAATCACAGACTCACAGAATGGTTTGGGTTGAAAGGGACATTTAAATCATGCGTGCTACACCTGGGATGGTAACCAGGACCCATGTGCATCCAGAGGACACTATTCCCTTTTCCAGACAGGTTGCAGAAACTTAATAGCTTGCTACCTTTTCTTGGGCCAGTGAGAGCCCCCTGTGAGCCAAGACAGAAGGTTGTTCAAGACTGCCAACCTCACCACCGCAAAATGAGATGCCTACAACGTGAGATTAAGGCCTCACACTGGAAGATCTGTGTGCCCTACAGCTGGGCTTTGCCCTCAACGCTGGGAATGTCTACAAGCCCAGGCTGGTCCTTCCCCCCCAGATGGGTGGTCCTTACTGGTCCCTGAGTGGACCCAGCAGACTGTTCACTTCACTTAATTCTGCAGCACCGGGAGACTGAGGGGTTAGTGATGCTATTTTGCATTAGTGAAGAGGGCTGGAAACTACTTTTGGTTGTTGTCTGCAAAACGCTGGTGGTGTCACAAGACAACAGGCCCTTCCCCAGGGAGGACCTGCAAGCTAAAATCTAGGAAGGTCAGATGCTAAGGAAAGGATGAGGAGACAAAGATGAGGATGTGTGACAGACAGTATTTGGGGTGTGTCTGACTTATTTGTGTTAGGGAGTGGTGAGAGCATCCTTCCTGAAATAACAATATTCCTCTGGGAAGGTGAAGCTGGAGCATCCTCTGGACCCACAGCAGGGAGGAGCGGCCTGGGCCTGTGGCCAGTTGGAGAAAAGCACCACGGACTCACTGTGCGACAAAAAAAGATACGAAAAAGGAAGGGTAGGAGACTGGTGCCAGTGTCAACAGTGATGCCAAATGGTTAGAAGGACACGCAGCTCTTGGAGATTTTCTCCAACACTGAAAGCTGGTTCAGCTTGCTGAATTCCCACCCCAGTCCCCTCTTCCTCGGCATGATCCTTTCAGCTGTAATGAGTCGATATTTTTCCCAAGTGTCCAACAACACGCTGCACTTCCCTACAAAGCTCAGCATTCATACTTCACTTGCTATGGGGATGAACATATACAATGATTTGCTTATGCTGGACATAAATGAAGGCTCAGTTCAGAAGAGGAGGTCTCAGAAGTGGCATTAAAACCTAAAGCTGGTCATTCAGGAGAGAGAACAATTCACCTTTCAGTGGCTGTGGGAGTTTCTGTCCCCAGCTGTCTGCCTGTCCCTCAGGTTCCCACCTCCACCTGAGATGGGGAAAAGATGTATGTCTGGGGCAGCTGACCCTGTCACCTGCATGTGTTGGAGACAGGCTTTAGGGCACTACAGCCCCTTCTGGGTAGGTAACCACTAGAAAGATATTCTTGCTTTGCAACATCATAGATCCAGTTTCTAATAAAATGAGATGATACTGTAGTGACTCACCCCAACCATACTTTATGAGGAAACTAAATGAAGGTGGGGAAAAAACGGAGTATTGTGTTGCCATATACACGAAAAGTCCCACAAGAGGCCCTGGAACCCTTGCAGACCATGATATATCAGAATTTTGGCTGGGCAGTAAAATTGCCGTGCAATTCAGAGATGCAAAACACACCCAAATGCTGACACAGTGTATATTTTGAGGAGCTGTGTAAAACTGTAAAATCCATGGCAGACTTGGAGAACTGACAGAGTTAATGAACAACTAGAAGAGTCAGAAAACCACCAAATCTCAGCAGAGATCTTGGGTGTCCCTGCAGAAAAAAAAAAAAAAAAAAAAGCTTTCCCCAAATAGAAAAGTGGATTTAATTTCCATTGTAAGTAGCACATCAAAAGGCATGAGAATGCATTTTTAGATGTTTCATTGCAGGCCAATGAAACACATTTTTCCAAAACATGGGATCTTTATCCCTGGTATCAATGCAGTCTGGGGGATGAATGAATTGAGAGAACTCTGTGGAGAAGGACTTAGGAGTACTGGTGGATGAAATATTGGCCGTGAGATGGAGACTTTTTACCAGAGCCTGCAGTGACAAGATGAGGGGCAACAGCTTTAAACTGAAAGAGGGTAGATTTAGATTGGAGATAAGAAAAAATGTTTTATGATGAGGGTGGTGAGTCACTGGAGGAGGTCACCCAGAGAAGCTGTGGCTGCCTGCTCTCTTGAAGGGTTCAAGAGCAGGTTGGATGGGGCTTGAAGCAATCTGATCTAATGACGGATGTTCCTTCCCATGGCACAGGCACGCAGAACAAAATTCAATATTTTTTTCTTTGGGAAAACCAAAAATAGGAAAAAAAAGATGAAAAAGATGTCATTGTAGACAAAAGTGTAAAGCGATTTGTTTTTCACAGTGGTGAAAGCTTATATGTGGGTCCCTCAAGAACCCTCATCTGCAGTGTCAGTGTTTTAAAATTGAAGAACTCCTATTGGTACTAATACTCTTCCTTTGCCTTTCAGCATGCACATCTCTGAAAGCCAACAAGAATTCTTCAGAATGCTTGATGAAAAAATTGAAAAGGTAAGACACAATAAACTTCTGCGTACTACACTGAATAAAATACTGATGGTGGAGATGAGGGTGAACAGTTCTTTGCACATCTCCTTGTCTCCATAGCAGCTTCCGTGTCTTTCACAAGTCTTTTAAATGAGAATCCCAGCTTCTTTGTGAGATAGTAGCAAGTAATTGTACCACAACATAGATGAGGCTTGAGGAATTAAATGAGCTATTTGGATCAAGTCTAGGTCTTATTCTTTGCTTGTACCTTGAGCTGATGTTTGCTCACTAGTATACTCTTTACGCTTTAGAGTAGTATATCTTATTTAATACTTGATATTAAATATTTGTTTCCCCAATTGCAATTAAGTAATTTCTACTCCCAAGTTTAGACTGGACATTGGGAATTATTTCTTTACTGAGAGGGTGGTCAAATCCTAGAAGAGGCTCCCCCGAGAGGTGGTCGGTGCCCCAAGCCTGTCAGTGTTTAAGAGGCATTTGGACAATGCCTCTAACAACGTGCTTTAACTTTGTCAGCCCTGAAGTGGCCAGGCAGTTGGACTAGATGACTGTTGTAGCTCCCTTCCAACTGAAATGTTCTGGACTAGTCTAGTCTATTCTATTAAGTTGTAGTGTTGGGTTGCAGAGTAGGAGGGAAATTTTTACTTGGATCACTCTGAATTTCTGCCATTTTTGCCAACATTCCTGGTCTTAGGAGGTGGAGTGCTACAGCGAGTGAATCTCATATTTGTCCCAAGCAACAGATTTGTTACTCTGGAAAAAAATATAAATGATGAAAGCAAAAAATTAGATAAAGGGGAAGAGTAGAAATGAGGAGGAGGAGTTTATAGATTCCTGAGAAGAGTATTTCTATACCAGTATTTCACAGGAGTAAGATTTTACTTTACCTATATGCAATTAAAAGTAGAATTTCTACATATCCATAATATAGCTACATCTCCTTTGAATAAATGCATTCACCCTATAAATATTTAGATGCTTTTCCTGGACATCATCACCTTCCGTAATGTCAAACACAGACTCTCCAGTGAAATGCATTTTCCAAAGATCTTCCTTATCTACATAGCAGGCCATCTGATGGCTGTATCTAATTATGAATTGAGGTTGGTTTTTGTTCTCGAGATACGTTTCAGAACAGTAATACCATTCGTTCACCAGCTTCCACATTGAGATGCAGTTGACTGTGTCTCCTCAGTGTTTGCACCATGCTCTCAGATGATTGCAGATGTTCTCCAGGGCTCTTGTACTAATTTATCTTTGAGATTAGGAGATTGCCTTTTTGGAGGAATACACAGTTTTATTTGTCAAAGAAAGACGGCTCCCGTGCATTTCAAGCTGCTGACAGTTGATGGGATTGGCAGGAGCTAATGCTCAGCTGAACATGGGATTTGCTTTCTCTGGGGACCTCCTGTGCCTGAGGAAAGTCCTCCTAAGAGAAGTTTTGGGGTTTTTAATTAATCTTTGCTCACACTGCATTGTTTTTCTGGGTATCTGCCACAAATACCAAATAGATTGGAAAATATGAGGGGTTTTGTTTGATCTCTAAATAGCATTTTGAGTCCCTTCCCCAGGGAAATGGAGGACAGCAGTCGAACAATTAGAAGAATTATATCACTGAGCAGCTCACCAGTTAGGGCTGAAATAATCTGCTGAAATGGGGGGCATTGCCTGTGGTTGATGAGGTCCCAAAACATGTTGTAATGTTCATATGGTAACTGTGGCCATGAGTAGTGTTGGATTTGTAATGGAGACATGCTGTCTGTCACTGACTCCATGGGATATGTCTACAGAAACTCTACAGTCAGAAACAAAACATCCCTCAACTTGTGTTGAAATCCCAAGGGATGTTAGGTCACTTAATACAGATGAGTAACAACAACTCTAACGTGTGTGCTACAAGTTAGAGAGAAAAATTAAATGGGTGTTTTGGACTTAGCAAAACGATTAAATGGACAGGAAGGTCAACTAAAATAAAATTTCTGCAATCCAAGTGTGAAATGGAAAGAACACAGGCTGATGTTTTAGCAACTGAAAATATGAAGTATTATGAATCCTGGAGATCAAATAAAGCGTTAATGAAAAGGTCTGGAGAATTTTTCTGGAAGTCTAACCCATCTCAATACCCATCACGCGCCTGCATTCCTGGCTGCCCATACAAAGCTGAACTGCCTTCTGCAAATGCCACCTGAAGGTAATAAACCAGAATGTCAACCCCAACACATGGAGCTCCTGGCTACCAAAATTCAGTGTCAAAACACTGTGAGGAATTCAGAAGGAGACATCTGTTCCTGTCTCCGCGTGAGTGTCTGTCCCTGCTCAGAGAGCTGGAGCTGAACGCGCACGCACGGAACTGTGTGTGATTATGGTAATTCATTTCATAGGGTTTGTTGGAAGGAAGAAATACTGAAACGAAGGCTTGGCACTGAATGCTGAGGTAGGACTGACTGAGAATGTAAAAGTCAGCCTTGAATGTAGGGTTAGATGTTGGTTCTGCTAGAGTCAACCCAGTCATTTCAGAGGCACCAGAATTTGAGCTAAAAAAAACAAAACAAAACAAAACAAAAACCAGATGAGAAGCCAGAGATACAGTTATGTGGGAGGTTGGGAGTAGCTGGGTAGAGTTAAGCAGTTGACAGCACAGGTAACAGTAGTTATATATCATATGTATATGTTGTATGTATACGACAGACTGTGGAGCACTTCTTGTGATGGAGTTTCCGTGGCGTAGCAACGTGCATCCAGACAGACAGGAACCAGGTGATTAAAAGGTTGGCCAGATCTCAGCGCAGCTGTAGGGTGGTTTTCAGATGATGAGGTGCTGGTATAGTGGCAGAGGGTGAGCACAGCTTCGGCGCAGCACCAAGGCTGGATGTGCACCGCACCGGGAGAGGAGAGGAAAAGGACAGATCAAGTCACCCGTGAGCAGCACAGGGCCCGAGGCTGGTGGGGAAAGGTGGCTGAGAAATGTTCCCGGCATCCCCCAGCAGCTGCAGCGAGTCCTCTTGGGCTTTCACACTCGCTGAAGTCACCGTGAGTAGAGTCATGGGCTTTGCTTTTGGGGACAAAAAGGCACAGACATACAAAGAGTTCAGGAAGAAAACAGAGCGGACAGGCAGCTTGCCTGAAATCACATAAATACATTCCAGTACAGGATCAGCAACAGGTAATAGCAGCAATTAAGCTTGAGGAGAGAGCCCCCCCTGAGTAAATTAGAAAGACGTGAGTCAGAGGCACAAGTGATTTGCTTGACCTGAGAAATGAAGGGAGAAATATGACTTCAGAAACCCAAGAAGGAAGCAGAGTGTGACCGACACATCCTTTCTAAAGCAAATGCAGCAGCTGCTGGATAAATCCGAGACCTGCAGCGTGATGCCCAGAAGAGGAGAAACGGGCCCCACTAGCTGCAGCCGGGACGGGGAAAGTCGCGGCACCCATCACGGTGTGAAAAACCTGGTTTTGAAATACCGTCTCTGATTCAGAAGACAGGGACGCTGTTAGCAGGACGCATTTCTGTCTGCATGACACCCGGTGTTTTCTGTGGCTGCAGTGTGAAGCTGTAGCAAAATTAGGCCATTTGTACTGTTATTCAGGCAAATAAATTAGTTACCTATGTCCTCTCTAGTCTGATAGTGCAAGGACTAATTTTAATTAGATATTGTATATGGATTTGCAAGCAGTTGCTGTGAAACACAGCAGAAGAATTACCATGTCTCTCCTAAAATTTCTCCAGTTGTTTGAGTTTTGTTCCCCTACTTCTCAACTTTATATGGACCTTGATTGTGCAGGACTATGCTCAAACTCCACCTTACGCCTTAGGAAGAAATCCCATTAATTGAACGGGATAGCTTAGAGCAGAGAGTTAATTCTGGGCACAGTCTTTGCAGCCTCAAGTCCACAGGCTTTAGGGGGACGTGTCCCACCAAGGCTTCCATAAAAATAAGAAATAAAAGCAAAATTAAAAGCGGTGATGTATAAAATGTTGAATGTGGAAAATTTACCCCATTTAGCACTTGCTAGCGAAAACATCTTGATGAGGGCTATCACAGAAAATGGCCTGAAAAATGACTGTGTTCTCTGAATCCTACTTACGGAGCAGTAAAACGATCATCAGAAATTATCTCCTTTAAGTAAATATTATTACTGGAGGCCCTTGCACAGTGTGTAGGCAGCTGTCTCACTGTAGGAAAAATTACCAAGGGCTGAGGTGTAAGTGAACAGTTGACAAGGAATTTCTAGGATTATGTCTGGGGATTGTACCCCCAGAAGAGAAACATCTCTGGCTTTGTGATTTAAAACAAACAAACAAACAAACAAACCAATAAAAAAAAAAAAAAAAAACCAACAAAACAATCCAGGTAAGCTGTACCAGAGGAAATCACCACCAGTCCCATCATCATAAACTGTTTCCTACGTGGCTACAGCGGTTTATAAAAAAATAATCACAATGCAAACATGCTCATGGAAAAAAAAAAAAAAAGAGATTAAAAAATGGCACAGCATGTGACGATGTCCTGCTACGAACTTTCATGGGGCCGGTGGGTACCCTGACCCCCGAGCACCGTGTTTCTGCTGCCGCGGGGGATGTCGCTTTGGGCCGGGAGGTAACTCGAACGCCGCTGCCGGCGCCGGGGTGGGTTTGGGGTTTGCAGGGATTTCTCCAGCGATCCGCACACCTGACTGCCGGGAGCCGGGCTGGAGGCCGCAGGTTTGTTGTTGGAGGCATTGGGAGACATGCCCAGCGGCAACTCGCTCCATCTCCTCGTTAGGAAAACTGGGCATGAAACACGGGGGGAAGGCACAATGCAGCTCCTTGTATCGTATTTAAAGGGTGCCGTTAGAAAAAAGGGGGGGTTGCTAACTGAAATGTATGCAAGGGCAGAATTATTGGGCTAAAACTCATTAGCAAAGTGGATTGCTCTTAACGACTCCCTTGGTTTTGCTCTGACCAAATAAGAAACGGACAAGAATCAGCACAGCATACAATTATTTCGTGCCGCCTCCCAGCATTTTCTTCCCATCCTTTCTGCGAGCGCTGTAAACAAAACCAGACTGATGAAAAGGGTTCCCACCGCAGGGCCAGGCTGACGTTTCCCAGCGCCGGCCCTCGCCTCTGAAAGGGGCCACTGTGTCCCGCGGGCTCTTTCAGCCGTCGCAGAAGAAAGGGCTGCTTGGTGCAGCTCATTTCCCTCTCCCGGGCCGGCCGGCCTCCTCTTCCTCCTCTCCTCGCCCGCGCCGCGGCGGGAGGATGCTGGTGCCAAGCTGCAGCGCCGCGGCGGAAGGAGCATCTCCCTGGCTGCCTCCTCTCCCGCGGCAAGTCCGCCAGCCGCACAAAAGCCCATTGAAGCGGGAAGGCTTCTGCATTCGGGCAGCATGGGGTTTTGTTTATCGGCCTGTCACCCGCAACAATGGGGAAAAGGGCTTTTCCTGTGATACGTTTTTTGTTTGTTTTTTTTTTTTTTTTTCCTTTTTTTGTCTCTAAAAGGATATCCTCAGCCGTGGTGCATGCCCTGGTAGGGGCAGCAGGGTGGTGGTGCTGGTTTCTAGGTGCAGAGAGCGGAGAGAGCAGGGGAATGAGCCCTGCTGGTTTGGGTACAAGTAGAAGGAATAGAGAGTAAGGCCTTTTTTTTTTTTTTTTTTTTAATTACCTTAAATTCACACAGTTGTGTTAAGGCATTTCTGTGGACATCTACAAAAGTTGAAAGTTGGATTTTGAAACTGCAGAGCAGGGAGACCGGATTTCTCAGGAGCTGCCTGGACTTGAATGCGTATGTTCCTGTTCTCATCTTCCTCAGCATAGTTCATTTACACTCTCAGTCTTTAAAACTTACTCAGTAGCCCGTGCTACTGAGGAATGGCCCATCCATTCCTGTTATCAGCCACGTGCTCTGTGACTGTGGACTCCTCTGGACGCGGGAGCCTGCTCCCCTGGGCAGCAGGGGACAGGGCTTGCCCAGCAATCCTGCACCCTCATTTTCCAGCCACGATGCTGCTCTATTTGGGGAGGGTTATCACCTTCTCTGCTTTCTTCTTTTCCTTCCCGACGTAACATCTGCTCCCCAAAAGTCCCCACCATCACTTTGGTCTGCGCTGAGATACTACTGGAGCTCCTCTGCCCACGTCGTGGAGCTCATCTTCCGACTGCCACTTCACATGTTCAGTATTTCAGTGTGGTTTCTTCAGAAGACCTTAGGAGCTCTGCAGGCTGTTAGCTCACCGTTTTGAGCGAGGTTTTGCCCAGCCCCACTGGGATAATTCCCTGTCTCAAGCACAGCAGGCCTCTCACTGCTGGCAGGTGCAGCCGCTCAAGGTATCATCTCCTCTAGCATCTATCAGACATCCTCTGAAACAACCAAGGGATTAAAAAATTGACATTTTAAACTATTTTACTGGACTGAGGCTATGGTGTTTATCAGGACCAAAGCAGCCTTCATCCTCTGCCAGCGGGGAGATGGAGACCTCTCCTGCCTCTCTGCCTGAGGAGCACCAAGGAGAAACCCTCGTGTGTAGGATTTACAGTGCAGCAGGGAAGGCAGCTTTATTCTTTCTCTGATCTTCCTGAGGAACGCTGACCTTGTTATTACTGATAAAAATTCAATTAGGCTATAAGCTTTAGAGAAAAGCTTTTGTCTTAAAAAAAAAAGGAGGGGGGGAGGAGTGGGATTTGTAACTTTTTTGGCTTCCTTGTAGCATGGTTTCTCCACCTCCTGCTCTTTTTAGGAGGATAAATATCCATTGCTGTGTATTTGCTGAAGGAGACCTCACTTATCATGAGCCCTCCTTCAAGAAGGTGCTAAAGCACGTGCTTAACTTTTTGCTTGTGAGCTGCTCCAGGGCTTACATGCTGTTTCCCTTGTGCTTAAAGACCAATATGTGTTTAACCCCGCTGAACAGGGCCAGGCCACTTCAGACCTTGCTGGGAAGAGCCCCACACGCTTTGTGATTGTGCTGGGATTAAATTGTTGGTGTGAGTGTGGTGTCTTCGCCACAACACGCGTGTCGGTGTGGGTCTTCTCAGCATAGCCGGGGCAGTGGGTGTAGGACAGCCAGGATGGGTGCAGGAGTATGTGCAAAACGGGGTGTTTGCTGTCACAGCCCATTCCCACCTCTGACAAAATAAGCTTAAACCTGCCAGAGCAGGGTGGCCCCGCAGGTCGTATCGCGTCCCAACACTCAGAGAGTGGACGTGGCCCTTCCTCCTCCCGAGGAAAGAAAAGCAACGTCCTCTTAACTCGCCATAAGACCCAAGCAAAAATCCCTAATTTTGCATGCAAGCTGCCAGCCCGCCGTGCCTTCTCTCGGGTGTTATGCTTGGTGTGTAACAGATGCGTCCCTTCCCCTGCATCGCAGCGGGCTCCTGCGCACAGCTCCGCGCCGGAGAGGGGCAGGGGACGTGAAGCCTTCAGCCAGCTGCCGAGCGGCTGCGGGAGCCTTTTTTGGTTCCCCCCCACCTTCTCCCTCGTCGCATCTTCCCCCCCTTCCCGCCAGCTGGCACGTCAGCGGGGGCTGCCCCTGCTGAAGCAAGCCCCGCTTTTGGGCATTTCCCTGCAAAAAAACCACGGCAGCCTCGGGCTGCAGCGTGGCTCCTCGTCTTGACGGCAGGCACGGGCGTCGGATTAGCTGGTGGGGTCGGGGTTACAGGTCCGTGCCGGGCTCGGCGGGTGGCAGAGCCGCCTGTCACGCTGCAAGGATGGTGTGGGAGGTGTTTTTGGTGCTTCGGGCAGTTTTCACCCTCTTCCCCGTTCCGGCTGTGCCGCCGCTGCCCACTCGCGCTGGCGGGAAGCGCGGGATGGCGGCAGCTCCCTCCCCGCCGGCCCCCCAGGGCCGCGGCCTCGACGGCCACCGCCGAGGCACCGGCGTGTCTCCATCCCCGCCGGCGTGGAGGTGGGAATAAAGTGTCTGGCAGCAGCAGTCCGGCTCTCGGCAGCCTTCAGGCGGGGGGCGCGAGGCGGCGTTTCCCCGCCGCGGCGAGGACTTCTTTCAGCACGTTGCTTTTGAAGCAATTTCTTGGCATCTTTTTGAGGAGCAGCGCACCTTGTTGCTGCAGAGCAAACCCAGAGGCAGAAGAACGACGGGAGAAGGGGGAGGGGAAAAAAAATGCAAGATGGCTTTCGTCCGTGTTTTGGGTTCATTTGGGCCTTTAATAGCTCTGATGGCTGCCGGTGAAGAGCGTGGCGGGGAACGATGGGCCACGGGGCTCCCTCTTGAGCAGGAGGCCGGGGAACCAGGTAAATGAATCTCTTGGAAATCTCAGTCATCATTCGCTGTCGGTGGCTGTCACATCTCTGAAGCACGTTGGACAAAGCCTTCATCACCACCAGCTTAGTCTCGGGGATTGTCCAAAGGCACTGTGGTCCCTGGCATGGAGAAAACCCACGGACTGGGGCTTTGCTGCAAAGTGTTTTGTTATTCCTTCTTCCCGAGTCAAATGTTTTACTTTTTTTTTTTTTTTTTTTTTTTAATTTCTGGCTCAGTGACTGATGAATTGAAATTAGGGCTGTTTAGAGTCTTGGGAGGTTTTTTAACACACTAAGCAAGCCCTTTTACTAATAGTCCAGGGCCACAGAAGGCTGTTAAAGCACCACACATTCTGGGATGTGGACCCTCCAGCAAAGCGAGCTCTGCAATCCCAGCATTGTCGGTGGGATTGTAATTGCAGAGGCATTTTGGAGCCTTTGTTCCTGACATGTACCCTAGCTGTGCATCTCAAACAAACCGATTGCTGCATCAAGAAACATCTCTCCCTTTTCTTTTTTTTTTTTTTTTTTTGTACTTTTTTCTTCCGCCCCCACCTGGCCTCTTTCCAGACAGGACAGTGACTGGTTTTGATCCCTGGGGCAACTGGGTACCGCTCCTTCAGTGAGTAGAGCTTCACCCATTTTACCACTGCTGAGTTGGTCTCTTCTGCTTACAGGGTGTTGCCATGCTTTTACACATTGTTGCAGGTCTGGGACTCTCGTGTTTCTCCTTTTCTTCTCCCTCGTTGCCAGCCCTTCACTCGGCTGCTGGGATTTTCCACGCAAGCGATCGGGTGGTACACCCGGCACGCGGGAACAAGGGGAAGTAGCACGGAGGTTGAGATTTTTGGTATGACATTTGGGGCACGTGTTTTACGCAGGATATCTTGGGCGGCTTTTGTGTTGAGAAGCTCAGCTCCAGCTGTTTCTGTGTAGAGAAACAAGGACAGTGGGTCCCATCAGGTCCTCGTCTTGCTGCTTTGCAAGAAACAGCTGGTGAGGGACAGGACATACCTCATCCAGACCTTCTAGGCAATACCTAGATGGATGTTGCTGCAAGTCTTGTGTTTGGGATGGGACGGAAGGCGTAACGTGACTGGTCTGTCAGAAGTCCAAGTTCTGTGAAGCCTGTTTTCCCCCGTTGTGCAAGTGCAGTTTCAATACGAATAGCATCCTTTGCTCTTACGTTGGGCTCCTGCTGAGGTTATCAGATGAAGTATTCTTGTTGACAGCAGCTGACTTGCGTTGCTCACAAGTTTACATGCTTCGTTGCTTTTTCCTCGGAGATGATGTTTTCACAATCTGTAGGGCTGTGTCCACCAAGGTGTATCTTTACATTAAATAGTTTTGCAGATCAGTTTATTGGACTCCCCCTAGAATTCAGTACAGGGGATGAAATTTATGAGACTAATAGTGACAGAAAGGGAAGGGTCTCCTGTCCTGGTTTCATGCAAACCTTCCAGAAATGGTTGGCAGAGTTGTGCGAACTCCATTCCCTATTTTTAAAGTTTCTACCCGGCTCTGAACTTAAATCTCCTAAGCTTAGAGAACTGATATGTATTATTAGTAAGCACTGCCTTAATTTCTGTTATTCCTGTCTCAAGTAGTCATGTACAAACTGTCTGGCTTTTCTCCTTACAGGGTCGTGATTATTGTTCAGAAGAGGAGGATGTCACATAGTGCCAATTCTGCCACTCGCACCAGGAATACTACTGTGTAAATAGATTACAACCCAGTCGAGACCTTTTGGAAGTCTTCTAGAGCGAACAGCACTACATAACAGAAGAAGATCATTTCCACATTATATGCTCCATTCAGTTACAGTGTTTCTTAATGAACAGATGAGGAATATTGCTAAGAACTCGTAAGGAACTGTTTTTGTTGCTGCTAGTTAAAACTTGTTGCAACTTCTCACTTTTTTCTGTGTCCAGATACGCAGCAAATCCTTAAAGTTAATCCAAAAGACGTTGTTGATTTTATTGAGGCTTCTGGCCTGTTTTCTATCAGATGAGGTAGTGTTATACAAAGCTTCCATAAGTGAACATTCAAGCATCTAAGAAACACCCTTAAGCTGTCTGTCAGTCCGCGTTCGGGCCGGAGTGCTTATTAATGCTGGTGATTTCAAGCTTTGGAGATGGGATGTTTTTGCCATGGTAGGCCTTGTTTCTCTGCTGAGAAGAAGCTGAGAAACTATTATCCATTAAGAGCATGTTATCACTGAAATACTGGAAGTGATGCAGGAGCAGGAATTTGTATTTTAAGAGGAAAAAAAAGTTTCATTTAATAGGTATCTTAATCAAGGACTAAGCTTGCAGTATTGGCTTTGCTGAGCACGAATGGGAGTGTGATCACAATCATTTTGAATCTCTTTTTTTCTAAGAAAATAAACATTTTACTGTTTTTATGTATTCTTGTCTTTTACCATTCCTACAACACAGTGTTTTAAGAGTCTGGGGACAAGGAAGGCAAAACCAGCCCTCTGTGTTGATCGGTCTGTGGATCTAATCTCTTAAAGCAGCTCTGTGCCAGCTGTGGGTATCTGTTCGGTGTCCTGTAGAGTTTATTTTTCCATAGTATAGGGAGAGGATATCACCTTCTCAATAGCAGATGTAATATTTTTAACAAATGCTGTCATGAGTAAAAACAAAAAACAAAAACCAAATACTTGAGGAAAAAAAAAGATACACCTTTTGTATCTGTTATTTCAAAGGTGATTGTTACCTGTGCTGATATTTATTCCTGCTCTGACACCATATGAAGGCCAGGTTTGCACTGCATCCTGTGGAGGAACTTTGCCAGGACATGGGTTTCCATATTGTATTGATTTCATTGCTCTGATGTGTGTGAAGTATGTGGAATAGACCATGAGATTGCATTAATTTCATCTTTTGCTGATGTGGCCGACACTCAAGTGGGGTATTGCGCTCCAAGACCTTTAGCGTTGGCCATTTTTCACTGGACCTTCTGAAAATGAGATCCCTTTAAAGAGTTTCAAGTCCCTCAGAAATCACCCGTGAATTGCAAAAATCTCTAAAATATTAGTGGTTTTCATGACTAAAGAGATTTCCTCCAGTGTTTGCTCTGAGGGGGGTTCGACAGTCCACATCAGAAGATACTGTGCCCTATCAGTGCTGTGCCATACCTAGAAGATGTCAAAAAAAAAAGAAACAAAAAAAAGGCAACCTCCTTCCCTGCGCTGGATTTTCCTTTGGTTTTCGAGCAGTGGGGTAGGGATGACCCCCCGGGGAGGGAGACCCTGGCGTTACTCTTACTCGTGCAGGACTGGATGTGAGCAGCTCCAGCAAGAGCAGCTTTCCAGGCAGCGTTTGTGAGGCTCCAGTATCTTCTTAAGGCAGAAGCTATTGCTGAACACCACAGACTGCTCAGTCCCCGGGTCTCCTGTCGACCGCGGTTTGAGTCGAGTGGTTGCTCTGTTGCAGGATTGGGACAACCCAAGGGCTGCCCAGCTTCCATAGCTTTCCTTATAAAAGCCCAGGGACAGGGGCCTCTCCAGCAGGTTTCCCCATGTGCATCTTCATCCTGTTAACGGGCAAAAATTGCCAGCAAATTCTGATTTTCCTAAATCCTCGCTGCATTTCGGCAGCTGCTTTGACCACGCAGCTGTTCCCGAGCACCTCGACCCCCCTGGAGAGGAGGTTTCACCACCTTCCTCCCATCACATCGTCCCTCTTAGGGTTGTTGGCATCTCTCCGTGCTATGGAGCCATTTGATCTGTCATGAATTCTTCAAGGTGATAACTCTGTCCTCTTGCATATGATTTTTTCCCATAATTTATGTCAGCTCTTGAGCAGGTAGCCACGCTAAGGAGAGCCAAGAGACTGCACGTTTCAATTATTTAAACACTTTAATTAATAAAGAGTCCTGGGGTTTGATCCCACAAATCCTTCTCTCAGAAGTGCTTTATAAAGCTTTCACAAGTAGTACAAGAGTGATGGAATTGGGTCCATCCTTTTGAGGCACAGCTCATTTTCTAGATGGTGCCTGTCTTGTGTATAAATTTCCCTGTACAAACCCTGTGTTACAGACACGGCGTGGTCTTCCGAGACACCGGCTTCCTTTTACATGGAGTTTCTTTCAGCCACCTATTATCAGGAGCTTCTTGATGGTTTTCAGCTGACTGAGCTTCTTGGTCAGGCAGGAGACTTGCTCTTAAGCTGTGGAAAAGAAGAGATCAGCGCTGGTTACCTATTAAAAGGAGCCGTGCTCGTGGCAACAAAACTTAAGCAGAGCAAACCCCTGTTTTCTAGTCTTGAATGTTTGAAGTCTGTGAAATAGAAGGTGGTTTCTAGGCACTTCAGGCTTTGGGTTGACGTCCTTCTCTCCGCACCTCAGCCACTAAGAGCCGACTGCTTTGCTTGTTGAAGCAGGATAGCTATCTCCTCGAGCCCTGAGCAGCAACTTGCTGCAAAAACCTGTCCCGAGCAAGTGCGAGGACCTGACTGGAGCTGTGTGGCATTTGGGAAAGGGATGGGAACAGCTGAACCTCCCTGTAAAAAGCTGCACATGCCACGGGCAGACCCACAAGGTCGTGTGGATGAACGTTGCTTTTTAACCTGCTTTATTTCTTCCACCTTTGCAAAGTCCTAGCAGATTTTATTAAAAGTCTAAATATACGCAGCAGCTGAGGATCTGTAATAATATAAGCAGATTACTGTAGCTCGAAATGTGTTTCTCCTTGAAGGCATACCTCCCCTTTGTTCAAATATATTCAGCGGGGTGGAAAAGAGGAGGGTGGAAAGAGAAGAACTGTTTATAGCTGATGTGCTGTGCCTAGTTGTGTTTTTTTCAAGGTTTCTTTTACAAAAAAATACCAAGAAAGCGATTTGGGGCCCAACTTCTCTTCAGGAGGCTGACGCACTAATTAATGAGCTCCGAGTCATATTGTGGGATCTTGGAGAAAATTGTGGTGAAGGGGTTTTGCCATCAACCTTCCCTTGACGTGTTTTTTCCTTCCTCGGAAGCCCTCTGAGCTGCGCGCTGGTTTTCCTCCCCAGAGCCCGCCCCAAGTCTTAGCCCCGGGCAGGAGCGAGAGGAGTTGCCCAAGAGGCCGGTGGCCATCCCCAGATCCAGCCTGGTGCCAAAGCCCCCCCCCGAAAACACCCCAAGCGAGGGGCACTCGGTGCCCCCCCGAGGGCTGCCCGGAGCCAGCGTGCCAGGGCTGCGGCAGCACCCTCAGCCACCCGACGAGCCGGGCTGGCCGGGGGCTGCCCGGGCGGAACGCCGATGCGCTCGGCGCGATCTGGGCGCAGCTTGGATGTGTTTGACCTGGAGAGTGACACCTGGGAGGGAGGGAAAAAAAAAAAAAAAAAAAAAAAAAAAAGGCAAGAAAACTGTTTGTTGGCTGGCTGGCTCACACTTCTTTTTGTCTCCCTCACGTCTTTGCGCTCAGTCTAGTTTTATGAGGTTTTGGCTATGTCTCCTTCGGTCACTGTCTAACTCCATATTGTATCTATTGCCACACATACGCTTTGACCTAAAAAGATTTATTTAGCCTTTATTTTTTTTCAATTATTGCGAGTTTCCCTTCACCTGTGCTCCCTCCCAAACCCTCCCACCCTTCGTACAGCTCACCGGGGGGCCGGTCCGGTCGTGGTGGGCAGGAGGAGGCAGGGGCTTTACCCTCCTGCCTGAACTGTGGCTCTGTGTGTCAGGCTCAGTTATACTCACGGTTTTCTGATCTGGTCCAAGGAGGAGCTGGCTGTTCTGCGGGCCGCTCGTGTTCTGGTTTCAAAGGCTGGCATTTGGTATTCCCGAGCCTTTTCAGGGGAGAGGGGGAAATCCTGCTCTTGCACCCTCGATGCCAAGGTGGTGTTTTGCCACAACATCATCCCCCAAGAGCCAAGAGCAGCGTTTGGCCCAGGGCGTGTCTTGAGTCACAGGAGTCTGCACCTGAAATAGATTAAGGAAACCCAAAACCATCTTAGTGCTTTTTTTCATCTCGGAAGGCTGCGGATCATGTCACCTCATTCAGATGCTGACACTTGTGCTTTCCTCCCTTGGGACCCTGAGCAGGAGATGTTTTGGCCAGGTCTCTGCGTGCGATGGGAGGGAGCGGGAGTGGTTTCTCTCCAGCGCCAGGACTTTGAGGAAACCCCTGAAGGGCTTGAGCCAAGCCCCAGCCTGTCTCGTTTGGGGAAAACAGGCCAGACCCCCTTGCAGGAGCAAGGTTTGCATGGTTGGATGGACTTGCTGCGCTACTGCAGGATTTTCCATGGTGGCCACATAAATTAAGTTCTGTAGGAACCACTAGGGAGTGTAGATTGACAAACTCTCGGCGTCTCTAAAATTTTGCAGAGGTTCCCACTTTATCATGAAGAACTGGGCAGGGCATTTGAAGCTCTCTGGGCTTTTGCTGGTGTGGCTGGTGATTTTTAGGACATTGTCTTGGACTCGCTGGGAATGTTCAGCAAACGGTCTTTCCTCTGATTATTCCTCCAAATCTCTGTTTAGACTTCTCTTTTCAAAAACATACCTGGACTGACGGGAGCAGGAACTCCTTTGATTCCCTGTGAAGCACTCGTACCTGCTGGTGTTTTATTTGCCTGGTGCTGTTGGGAGGCACATAGACATTTTGGGGTGGCCAGGAAACCCGCTCGGCAGACGGAGAAGCTGGACGTGCAAATAGCTGTAACAGAGAAACCAGGCTGCAGACCTTGGCCACAATGCCCTTGGAGAGATCATCAAAGCAGCCTGGTAATTATCTGACTACAAATATTGCTGTTTCCTGGCTCCCACGAACCTTTATTTGATATTAGACTTCAGCCCCAAAACTATACCACCCAAAACTTAACATTAATTTCTTCCTTTGCTTTCAAATGTGCAAATGTGGCTTTTTTTTTTTTTTTTTTTTTTTTAAATTAAGGCTCTCTGCCAGGACCCAGAAGACCCAGCTTTGCATCCTCTCCTGCCACAAGGCCTCTGTGGCCATGGATGGGCCATGCAGAACCCGGGGTGACTTACTGCACCTCTCCATCCCCTCGTGCACATCAGGACTAGCAGTGCTTCCCAAATCCTGGCTGCACAGGTGAAATCTTCAGCCCCCGGACAGCCTCATCCCGTTGTCCCTGCGCGCGCTCGGGCGGGCTCCAGCCTTGGCTGCAGCTGATGGAGCTGTGCGTGGTGCTGCCACAAGGCACGGCGCCCACGGCTCTAAGAGAGAGGAGGCAGCAATCGGCGATATCGAAGCATTTTTTTTGCAGCTTGCCTTTTAATCGCTGCAAGAGAGTCCAGCTGATGACTGGCACTGCCCACAAAGCACACCACGTACTTTAAAATCTGAATTATGAGACCAGAGTAAATGAGTAGATGAAGCACCAGAGAGACATGTTTGAAGACATTGCCATCATTGTACGGAAATTAGACTGAAGATAAATACTCATTTCTCAGC